AAATGTGTTAGATTATCTTTTGTTTTAGCTTGTGAATTTTCCCTATGCTAAGAGGGAGGTTTATTCTTTTTTTTGTAACTTTAAAGGTTTGCCTAGAGGGGAATCCGCTGTGTTTTAAATCTTATTACCCTGTAAAGCTACCTTCCATCCTGATTTTACAGAGGTGCTTCTTTTACTTTTTTCTTTATTATAAAGTTCTGTTTTTAAGAATCTGGTTGGGTTTTTACTGTCCTAGAAACCCCAGGGTCTGGTCTGTGCTCACCTTGGTTACCTATTTGGTTGGTATATTATTCTCAAGCCTCCCCAAGAAAGGGGGTGAAGGGGCTTGGGGGGATATTTTGAGGAAACAGGAACTCCAAGTGGTCCTTTTCCTGAATCTTTGTCTAACTCACTTGGTGGTGGCAGTGATACCATCCCAAGGCAAGGAATTTGTGCCTTGGGGAAGTTTTTAACCTAAGCTGGTGGAATATAAGCTTAGGGGGTCTTTCATGCAGGTCCCCACATCTGTACCCTAGAGTTCAGAGTGGGGAGGGAACCCCAATAGGCCCCATGGCAGAGCAGTGCTGGGGAGTTCCCAAGCCTGGCCTGGGGGCATCATCCTGTGGAGCTCTGGACTCGTGTCTGGGCTTGGAGCAGTTCCTTGGAAGTCAGATGGCCTGCGTCCCCGTGCTCTAGCCGAGCTGACCAATCTCCCTTCCTCGCTCTGCTCCATAGCTTCACCCTGTGTGGTAGGTCCCTGGCTGCCCTGGGGGCCATGTCTGGGAACACAAGGTGCCAGGCCAGGAGCTCGCGGTGCTGTGCTCACCACAGTGCCATGAAGACCTCTGCTGTAGCCCCCTCAGAGCTAGCTGGGAGAAGCAAACACTGCTCCCAGCTGTCTGAGGCTCAGTGGATTGGAGCTCCCCAGAATCACGTGGCAGCACTGTCCCTGGAGCTTAGCCCCTGGGGACGAGATGCCCCGTCATGCTTTCCCCAGCCAGGGGTCCCAGAAAGGCCCCATCACCAGGGAGCTGAAAAGGCAGGCTCCTTTTTTGTAGCAAGCACTTGATGAGTACTTAAAGGGCCCTGGTTCCTCACCTCATTTCTCATCTGCCTGTGGATCTGTGGCAGATGATGGCAGCGGTGGGATGGTTACCAAATGCACCCAGCAGACGGTTGGTTGCGGAAGGCACCAGAGGCATCTTGCCATAAGGGCAGTGGTAAAACAAGGGGCCTACTAGAGGGAATAATGAAGAAATGGCGTAGAACCATCGCAGACCTGTGTGGAGGGAAGGTGGAGCATTGCGAGGCTCATCACGGCACACCTGATTGCACAGCTGGAGAAGGATGATCAGTCTAAGAAGCAGGTTCCAGACTCAAACGGGGCTAGAAGGGGGTGCGGGAACAGCAGAGGGAGCAGCTGGAGTGGCAGCAGGGTGTCCACAAGATCCAGTTACCCGTCCAGAAGGGCGTCTTCATGACCTGGTTCCCTGTCCATAGATCTGAAGCGGATGGAGTTGGAGCGGAGAGCAAAGGAGTCGCAGTTGGAACAACAAAGGCTAGAGGACAGTGAGAGGCAGCGAAAGCATGGGGCAGAACAGCAGGAGAAGCAGCAGAACCATGAATGGGAGATGGAGGAGTGGAGAGGCAAGGGGTAAGTGGGGAAAGACTCTGAGATGCCAATCCCACAGGGAACTTAGGCTCCAAATCATTGCCCCAGTTTAAGGGGGGGGGGAATATAGATGCCTGCTTCACTGCCTTTGAGAAGGCTTGCAACCTGTGGATCAGCACTGCTGTCTTACCCCACCCACTCAGTCCCAAAGCTAGAGAAGCGTATAGCCAGATGGAAGGTGTGGAGACTGGAGATTATGAACTGTTCATAAAAGCTTTGCTGCTTAAGTTTGAACTGATGCCTGACATGTATAGGAAAAGATTCTGAGGTCTGCAAAACACCCTGGGTCACCAACAGAAGTCACCACCCAGATGGGAGAATATCTCCGCAAATTGGGTAAGGGTGCAGGGGTCACTATGCTGGAGGATTTGTATAACCTGGTTGGGTTGGAGCAGCTGTGTGAGATCCATCCAGCAAGGAAGGAACATGGGGGTGGGGGGGCAAAGGGGAGGGAGAAGCGAGGGCAAGGTGGCATTGAAAAAGGGGAAGCCGTGGCAGGGCACAGAAGTCCAGAGATTGGGGTGGAGGCAGAAGGTAGTAATCTTGGTTGAAGAGGTAGGTGGAATAAGCTTCCAACAGCCCCTTCTCCCTCCCCTGCAGGAGTGCCAAGACTGGAACAAATGCTTCAGAAACAGTCTCAGCACATCTGCATGCTCCAATTTCTTCCTTCTGAGAAATGCAACCTCCTCCGTCTTCACACCCAGCACTCTCATGATAATGTGATTAATGAGCAGAGCTTCCCTGGCTGCAAGGTAGACTCTACACAGCAGGAGGCCAAGCCTCTTATAACATAATTGAGGTTCACAACTCTACCCCAGGCGAATGATGAGTTCAAGTCTCTGCTTCCTGCTCCCATCATTACTGATGCCCTGGGGCTTTCACTTAGTTATAGCTGGACTCCTTCTGACTATGAAAGGATACTCTGGGAGAAGCCAGCTCAGTGGCACAGTGGGTCCATGACTCACTGAGAGTATCACAAAGGCCTCCCTCCATCATCACCCCAACACAGCCAGAGAGATGAGACAGGATGGAATTGGGAAGCTCACAGCTGCTTTGCTGGGATCCCAGTATTTCCCTTCATTCACTGATGTCATAGAGAGGCTTTAACCCATTCCTCACCTGTGCAGGCGCCTCTTGGGATCTCCATTTCCTCAGAGCCCTGGGGACCTGGGACACTCAGCTCGTTCTTTTGTTCCATCTGGGAAACAACAGGAACTGCTTGCAGGAGAGAAAACAAGGAGATGTCAATAATTTCTGAAGTAAGAAATGTATGTTGGCCTGGCAGCCAGAACACGTGCGATCAGTTTCTGACTCTCAGATTTCCTGTGTGACCTTATGTAAATCCATTTCTTAATAATCGGGTGTGTGATGAAGTGGGGATTTCCCCTTGTTATGTTGTACATGAGTCTTATTGTTTTGCATGAATGCTGTGTGTGCCTCAGTTTCCCTGTGTATTGTACCAATGTCTAGGTGGTGGGAATAAGCGTGTGTGACTTTTGTAAGGGTTACTCCAGCTGCCTGCATGTTTGCTGTGGCCACCCCTAAATAACTTGAGACCCAGGAGGGGGACACGACCAGATGACTCTTGCAAAGGCCAGAGGAGGAGCAATGGGCAGGGCAGGGGCGAGGCAGTTGGAAGCAAGTCAATCTCAGCTGGCTTGAGGCTCAGGGGGAGGATCAGAGCTCTGGCTCTGGGCTCCCCTCTCCCCAAGATGGACTTGGTTGAAAGTCACCGATTTCTGTGCTAACAAGGTCTGCCCTATGCTGTGTTTCTGTCGACTAATAAACCTTCTGTTTTACCGGCTGGCTGAGAGTCACGTCTGACTGTGGAGTTGGGGTGCAGGGCCCTCTGGCTTCCCCAAGAGCCCTGCCTGGGCAGACTCACTGTGGGAAGTGTACGGTGTGGAAGGGGATGCTGAATGCTCCAAGGTCAGAACGAGGAAGGTCAAAGCTGTGTAGGGTGACCAGATGTCCCGATTTTATAGTGACAGTCCTGATTTTTCACATGTGCTGTCTGGTCACCCTAAAGCTGTGTGAGTTTCTTGCCCTGGAGACAGTCTGCTCAGAGAGAGGAGGCTCCCCCAGAGTCCTGACTGGCTTCGTAGGGAGTAGTTCCAGAGCATCGCCCGGGGACTCCGTGACAGGGTGTGAACATGCACTCCGAGGAAGGATGATTAGCCCCACTGACATGGGAAGGACAGTCTCCCACACAGATTATGGGGAGAGCAGACACTGACCAAAGGAGCCAGGCCAGAGCCTTGAGTTTAAGTTGACCCAGCCAGCCCAGAGAGTAAACAGCAGCTAATACCTGAGCCTTCCCCAGCAAGCCGACATTCCTGTAGTTCTCCTGCATGATGTCCCTGTACAGCTCCCTCTGCTGCTCATCCAGCAGAACCCACTCTGCTGAGGTGAAATACAAGGCCACCTCTTCAAATGTCACTGGCATCTGGAACAAGCGGCATCCCCCCACTTAGGCTTGGTCCACACTGGGGTGGGAGATTGATGTAGGAAACGCAACTTCAGCTACGAGAATAGCGTAGCTGAAGTCGACATTTCCTAGATTGAACTAAGTTTACTTACTGCGGGTCCACGCAGCACAGGCAAGCTCCCCCGTCGACAGCGCTTCCTCCTCTCGGGGAGCAGGAGTTCCGCAGTCGACGGGGGAGCGCTTCTGGGATCGATTTATCACGTCCAGATGAGACGCGATAAATCGATCCCAGAAGATCGATCTCTACCTGCCGAATCAGGCGAGTAGTGTGGACCTAGCCTTAACAACTGCCACTGCTGGGTCAGCCAGCCCCCCACCTAGTCAGACCAAGAACAGGGGCAGAGGTGTCATTAACTGATTCACCAGTGACAAAGACAGGAGCTGAAAACTGCCTTGGAGACAGACACCCCACTCACCTCCCATGTTCCTACCTGGGGCTGATGTTTCCTAGGCTGTAGGTGGATGAGCTGGAAATCCTCTGCCAGAGACACAGCCTCCTCACCGCTCTCTGGGCCACCCTCCTGCACCCAGCTCTGCATTTCCTCAGGCAGGAGGCTCAGGAACCACTCAAGAACCAGCAGCTCTAACATCTGCTCCTTGGTGAGAGTCTCTGGCTGTAGCCGGAGATGGGAAAGTTCCCACAGACATCTGTAAGTCTCCCATGGCCCCACGGCCTCCTGGTAGCAGAAGCCCCTGAAGCACTGGCGCTGCATCTCCGTGTCGTAGCGGCACAGGGCGGTTCCCCTCACCTTGGCACCATCACCAGCCTCCCTGGCATCCCATACTCACTGCTGCTCAGTCACTGTCTGTGGCAGCACCAGCAAGCTTGGGAACTCCCCTGCCATCCAGCACTGCCCTGCCATGGGACCTTTCTCTGCTTGATTCACTTTGTTCCCCAGGTCAGGGCTGGCTCCATCTGGCCTCTCCAGCTTCATGGTGCCTGGCACCTCCCACCCTGGCACAGCTTTGGAGTGGAGCCCCGAGGCAGCAGCTCCTCCCTGCTGGGTGGCCATCTCCAGCCTTGCGGGACTGGCCTTGGTACCAGCCTCCGGCCCATGCTCGGTATGTAACTCCCCAGCCTGGGGCCAAAGGCCAGCTGTGCGCCCTTCAGTCTCCAGGCCCTAGGGCAGCCCTTTGCCCAGCACCTGCCCCTCTGGGGTGGATGGGGAGAAGGCCCAGTGTGGGGTGCTGCAGAGACAAAGGCCCTGGGCTCAGCCAGCAGGTTCTCCTGTGCGGGGGGCACGCCTATGGCAAGAGGAGCAAACAGATCAAAGAGAGAAATGGGAGAGAGAGGCAGAAGACAAGGATCCTTCAGCTATTCCCCTTTCCAGGGTCTGGTAACCCCAGCTCCCTGCCCATCCCCCACTTCCTCATCCCCTCCAGCTCCCTACCCACAACCATCCCCTCCAGCTCCCTAACCATCCTCTCCAGCTCCCTGCCCACAACCATCCCTCCAGTTCCTTAACCGTCCTCTCCAGTTCCCTGCCCACAACCATCCCTCTAGCTCCCTAACCGTCCTCTCCAGCTCCCTGCCCACAAGTCCTCTCCAGCTCCCTGCCCATCCCCCACTTCCTCATCCCCTCCAGCTCCCTGCCCACAACCATCCCCTCCAGTTCCCTGCCCATCCCCCACTTCCTCATCCCCTCCAGCTCCCTACCTATCCTCCCTTTTTGCCCCTAATCGCCCCCTCTCCTCTCTGCGCTCCCTGCCCAAGCACATCCAGACTCCACTCCCCGGCTCAGAGCAGGACCGGCTACTAGGCCTCCCCCCACTACATAAGGGAGGGGGCTGCCCGGGGCCGGGCCTACCCAGGATGCTCCCGGGTTTAGGCCCAGATGCCCCACCCAAATGCGGGGCTTTCAACCAGGCGTGGGGCGGCGCTTGTGAGAGGAATACAATTAATGTGGTTGGGGGAGAGGCTGACGGACAGGCCGCCCGGCCAAGAGCTTCCACCTGCCTGTCAGAACCGTCCGACCAATCGCCATTGTCCACCCCTGAGGGACACGCAGCCTGGCCAATCGCACCTCCCACAGAAGCAGCAGGGGCGGGAGCATGAGCCTGGCGCTGGGACTCGCTTCCCAAACCCCATCTCTCAGGACAGTGGCAGCAGGTGGGTGGGAACAGTCGGGGCTTCGCTTTGTGATGGGAGCGGGCAGCGACTGGAGGGCTGGGCCCAGCATCTCCTATAGAGGGGGGCCTTTCTCCTCCCGGGGCACCGGGGGGTAGCCCCTATAGAGCGGGGGGCCCTTCTCCTCCCGGGGCACCGGGGGTAGCCCCTATAGAGCAGGGGGCCCTTCTCCTCCCGGGGCACTGGGGGGTAGCCCCTATAGAGCGGGGGGGCCCTTCTCCTCCCGGGGCACTGGGGGGTAGCCCCTATAGAGCGGGGGGGCCCTTCTCCTCCCGGGGCACTGGGGGTAGCCCCTATAGAGTAGGGGGCCCTTCTCCTCCCGGGGCACTGGGGGTAGCCCCTATAGAGCGGGGGGCCCTTCTCCCGGGGTACTGGGGGGCAGCCCCTATAGAGCGGGGAGCCTCCATCTCTGCAGTGCCTGCCCCTGTACCTTCTCCCTGTCCCCCCCAGAGGGGCAGGCGCTGGGCAAGGGACTGCCCTAGGGCCTGGAGACTGAAGCGCGCACAGCCGGCCTTTGGCCCCAGGCTGTGGAGTTACATACAGAGGGGGGGTGTCCGGAGCACAGACCGGAGGCTGGTACCAAGGCCAGTCCCCCTAGGCTGGAGATGGCCACCCAGCAGGGAGGAGCTGCTGCCTCTGGGCTCCACTCCCAAGCTGTGCCAGGGCTGGAGGTGCCAGGCACCGTGAAGCTGGGGAGGCCGGATGGAGCCAACCCTGACCAGGGGGACAAAGTGGATCAAGCAGAGAAAGGCCCTGCAGCAGGGCAGTGCTGGGTGACTGGGGAGTTCCCGAGTTGGCTGGTGCTGCCACAGATGGTGACTGAGCGGCAGCAACTGGGGGATGCCAGTGAGGCCAGTGATGGCACCAAGATGAAAGGAGCCATCCTTCGCCACTACAACCCGGAGGTGCAGCGCCAGCACTTCAGGGGCTTCTGCTACTAGGATGCAGAGGGGCCACGGGAGGTTTACAGCCACCTGTGGGAACTTTCCCATCGCTGGTTGCAGCCAGAGACCCACACCAAGGAGCAGGTGCTGGAGCTGCTTGTTCTCGAGCAGTTCTTGAATCTCCTGCCTGAGGAAATGCAGAGCTGGGTGCGGGAGCGTGGCCCAGAGAGTGGCCAGGAGGCCGTGGCCCTGGCAGAGGATTTCCAGCTTGTTCCCCAGGAGCCTGGGTGGCAGCAGCCCCAGGTGAGAACTGTCAGCCCTGGCCATTGTCATGTGATGTGAAGTGGCCGTGTGAAAGGGGTGCTGGAAAATGTGGGGGAGAGATCTGGTTTGACAGTGGGGAGATTGCCCAGTAAGTACCTATTTAAGGTCTTCTGCATCTTTCTCTCTAATCTAACATGGGAGCTGGCGAATTTTAAGATGGGCAAGTGACCAACTGAGGCACATGAATCCTCTTTGCCCTATCTTGCACCAGCAACCCACGGCTGCTGTGCTGTACAAAACTGGCTTCCTTCTGAAGGCGCTCAGATGGCCTGATTTGTGCAAGAGGTCAGACTAGATGATCATGATTGTCCCTTCTGGCCTTAAAAATCTGAGTCTGTGAGATGCTCATGGACCCTGCTTCTCCCCTCTGTCTTCGTGGCTTCACAAGTGAGCCTGGGTGGGAGTGGACAGCAATGTTTTGTCTGGAATAGGAAAAATGTGTTTTTAAATCGATTGCCCCTGGGCAAATGTTAATCCACTGACCCTGTCAGATCCCTGGTCCTTTGTTGCTCTTCTCTGAATTTTCTCTACATCCCTGTCTTTCTGGCAACATGGTGCCCATATCTGTACGCAGTAATTGGGGTGTGGTTGCTAAGAAGCTACGGACTCTCTATCATGGAGTCACCGGGGCGGTGCTCTGGAACTACTCCATGTGAAGCCAGTCAGGACTCTGCGGGAGCCTCCTCTCTCTGAGCATACAGTCGCCAGGGCAAGAAGCTTACACAGATTCGACCCTCCTGGGTCTGACCTCGGAGCATTCAGCATCCCCTTCCACACCGTGCACTTCCCGCAGCAAGTCTGCCCTGGCAGGGCTCCGGCAGAAGCCAAAGGGCCCTGCACCCCAACTCCCCAGTCAGCAGTGACTCTCAGCCAGCATAAAATGGAAGGTTTATAAGTCAACAGGAACACAGCATAGAACAGAACTTGTTAGCACAGAAAACAGTGACTTTCAGCCAAGCCCATCTTGGGGAGTCCTGGGCCAGATGCCAAAGTCACACCCCCTAAGGTATTGGTGCAGCACACAGGGAAACTGAAGCACACACATTATTTATGAAGAACAGTAAAACTCACATAGGCTCACATGCAACATAACAAGGGAAAATCCCCACTTTGTCACATCTCTCCCCCTTTGAGACCAAACTGAGAGAGGTCACTTTAGCCAGTGGCCTGGGAAAGTTCAGGCCCCCCCTCTGGGACAAAGCATTAGCTATAACATTGCACTCCCCTTAACATAGGCCATCTTCATGTCATAATCCTGGAGAGACAGACTTCACCTCAGGAGCTTGGCATTGTCCCCTTTCATCTGGTGCAACCATGACAGGGTGAGTGGTCAGTGTACACAGTGAAGTGGCACCCAAATAGATCCGGCTGCAGCCTTTAAGAGTCCACTCGAGGGCCAGGCATTCCTTCTCTATGGCCACATAGCTCTGCTCCCGGGACAGCAGCTTCCTGCTCAGGTACATGATGGGTTTTTTCTCCCCTTTTGCATCAATTTACATTGGCAACATGCCCAGCCCTGTGTCTGAGGCAGTGGTGAACACCATAAAGGGCTTGTCAAAGTCTGGGTTTCCCAGCACTGGGCCCTTGACCAGATCCTCCTTCAGCGTGCAGAGCGCCCTCTGGCACTGGCCGATCCAGACCAGCTTGTCTGGCTTACCCTTCTTGCATAGCTCAGTGATGGAAGCCGACAACAGAGCTGAAGTGGGACACAAACCTCTGGTAGTGCCCCTCAATCTCATTAAAGGCCTGGGCCTGTTTCTTAGTCTGGGAAGCAGGCCAATCTCTGATCGCTCCACCTTGGTTGGCTCTGGCTTTGCAGCCTCTCCCCATCTTGTGGTCCAGGTACAACACCTCTGCCATCCCCACCTTGCACTTGCCAGCTTTTACAGTCAGCCCTGCAGCCTAGAGGCAATCCAGCTCTCTCTTCACCTGGGACATATGGTCCTCCCAGGTCTGGCTAACAACACAGGGTAAAATTCACCATCCCCCTCAGTAACTGATCCACCTGATGCTGGCAAGTGACCAGCACCTCCTTGAGGCTGAAAGATAGGACCAGGGATTTGTACAGCCCCAAAGGGGTGACAAAAGCAGGTTTCAACCTGGCATCTGGATCCAAAGGCACCTGCCAGTAGTGCCAGTCCTCCCCCTCCCAACTTGTCTAGGCTCTCATCAGGCCCAGGTATGGAGCAGGCACCAGACATGGAGATAGCATTGAGCTTCTGATAGGCCACACAAAATCAGATCAACCCTGGGGACCAGCACCATGGGAGATGCCCCAGGGCTGGTGGATGGCTGGATCACCCTAAAGCCAGCAATTCTCTGACCTCTCCCTCCAGGGCTGGGCTGTGTTCCCAGTTACTCTGAATGGGGAACACCTGATGGGAGGGCTGGCTCCCATCTCCACCAAATGGACAGCTTGGTTAGTGAGCCCAGGCCTGTTGGAAAACAGCTGTTGGTATGAATGCAGCACCTATCTGATCTCTGCCTGCTGGGCAGAGGTTAGCAGGTCAGAGAGGCGTATTGATTCCAGCAAGAGGCCGGCTCTTGTCTCAGGGAAGAGACCCACCGGGGGGTCTTCCCCCTTCTCCCACTGGCCACACATGGCCAGCACCAGCCTCTCCCTGTCACATTATGGCTCCAGCATGTTGACTTGGTCCCCTCAGTGGCTGTGAGCCCGGTTGGGCATTTCCTCCACATAATTTTCCTCATTCAGGCAAGGAGTTCCACGGGTTGACTGCGCTGTGTAAAGAAGAACTTCCTTTTGTTTTAAACCTGCTGCCCATTAATTTCATTTGGTGGCCCCTAGTTCTTATATTATGGGAACAAGTAAATAACTTTTCCTTATTCACTTTCTCCACATCAGTCATGATTTTATATACCTCTATCATATCCCCCCTTAGTCTCCTCTTTTCCAAGCTGAAAAGTCCTAGCCTCTTTAATCTCTCCTCATATGGGACCCGTTCCAAACCCCTAATCATTTTAGTTGCCCTTCTCTGAACCTTTTCTAGTGCCAGTATATCTTTTTTGAGATGAGGAGACCACATCTGTACGCAGTATTCAAGATGTGGGCGTACCAGGGATTTATATAAGGGCAATAAGATATTCTCCATCTTATTCTCTATCCCCTTTTTAATGATTCCTAACATCCTGTTTGCTTTTTTGACTGCTGCTGCACACTGCGTGGACGTCTTCAGAGAACTATCCACAATGACTC